TTGTTTTGAAGCATTGAACGTCTCCCAGCAATCTTGGGTCCAGAATTCTTAATTGTAGAATTGGGCACACCCCCGTTCCCTGGTGCCCAAGTTTGGCCAAAAAATGCAAACTTACCGGGCAAATGACTGAAATCAAGCAAGACCTAGGCACCAGGGGGGGCGTACCATATTCATATATATTATACATATATGTATATCTTAAATGTTGGCAACTCATATACACATATATACATATACAGCGTAGCCCACAGCCTGCCAGCACGCATCGAAACACGTCTGAAACAAGTTTGTCGCGGGTTGCAACTAATGTACAAATGATGTACACAAATTGTCACTCAAGAAGGGGCAGTTGCTCATGCAACCGAGCATCCCGCTTCCAGCTGCGCCTCCCTGCTCGGCCTCTTACCCCGAGCTGGAACCAAGGGACCTCGGACCGCCACAGATTGCACCCTTCAAGCCACCCCATCTTTGCCACTCCGGGAGTTGATGAAGGTCCCGTCTCCGCTCAGAAGCTACCTACGCAACCCTATTCCCCTATCTCCTTCCAAAGGGTTGGGTGGTCACTTTCTCAACACAGCCCCGAACCGTGACAGGAGTCAATCCTACTCAAGGAGGAGCCCAACACGCCCCACTCGCGTTTTCCCAAGATTCCGCACAGGAGGGAATGCCTCCTATGCTCGCGTTCAACGGAGCGCATTTAGCCTTGCGCCAAACATAGGCAAGGCATCATGGTTATCAGAGCAGTTCACATCATGCAACTACTCCGGCAACTTCTAAAGCCACTCAAGCTCATTTGCCGAATCTCAAACTCATGCAGCTGCAGTGCAACAACGTGCAATCCACAGGATACCCTGAAAAAAGAGACCCACGCAACTACGATAATATATACATATATATATATATACAAATAATGCTTAATGTGTGTTTACACACACATACAAACAGAATTGGCCAGGGTATATACAAGCCATACATACTCTTTTAGAGACCTGCTTGCCACCCCGAATACGCAATATGGAGGAAGTAGCATTTGAAGCTGCTGTACGCTGTCAAGCATGCGTTCAAGTTCAGAATTCTTGAGCGGCGCAATTCAACACGTGGCATACTGCTAGCTGCAGGCAAGACTACAGAGGACCTGGGTACGGAGCGTTGGCAGCCACTTGGCCGAGCTCAGTCATTCTCACGCTTTGCAGTTTCCCAGCCCCAATGGCCTTCTGAAGTTTCCCGATTAGTTGCCTTAGCTTTGTTGATGCGAAGGTGACTGCCGTATCCACCAGCTTCTTGTCTCAATTGGGAATGTGGATGTCGTGCGTGTTGGGCTAATCGAGCGTCACAATGAGTTTGCAAGTGCAACTTGTGAGTTGAGGTAATATCTTTCGCAAGGGTAACACTTGCGCCACTCTCAGAGCTGCATTGAGAGACTGACACCGACTGGACCGAGCGTTTTGGAGCGACACGGTGGTGAGGCCCTGCATACCTTGTGCCACAAGGGCCGTCAAAGTATTTCTCATGCAGCCCGTTGCCTGTGTGTCTCTCAAGCTTTGACCTTCCTTTCCTGGTAGTGGCATCTGCTAGTAGAGTCAGATTCTCATGGTGACACACACACACCCCCGTTTCACCGAGCAAAAGCTCAACACATAGAGTCTCGGACAGGGCTTAGCACGGCTTAGCAGGGCTTGGCAGGGCTTTAGCAACGCTCAGCCCCGCGACGCGTGACAGTTAACTTCGAAAGGTTTGCAGAGCGATAGTTGATGCATGCTCGGATGGTCTACACAAGGTAGCTGCATGGGTTTGCAATGTGCGCCCGGGCCGTGCTCGAGTTTTTTGGCAAGGCAATTGGGCAAGCTATGGATTTGCAGCCTTTCACGCTCTCTTTCTTATCTTGCTTTATCCACGCAAGTGGTGACTTTGCCAATCGGCACTAGGGCACAGTTGGCCCTCGGTGCCTTGCGTGCGGGATCTCGGATACAAAGGGTCTGCCAAACCCCAGCCTGAAGTCTCGACTCAGGTGCCATGGGCGCACAGCGACCTACCTGCACCATGCTGTTGGTTCCATATCCGTGACCGACAGCTTAGGCCGTTCGAGCTGTTTGTGCGAACGCCGGCCGAGATTGTTTTGCAATTGGAGGCCCGTGCTTGGGCCCGGGCTATGTTGCGGACCTCGTCCCTGTGATTTTTCCATGGCACATATTTTGAACAAAGAAGAGCCGTCTTTTGCATGCAGGTGCAGCCGACCGACACCGTGGAAGAAGTGAAGGCTTGGGTTGGGTTTTTCTTTTCTGAGCTGAGGTTTGCTCAGCTTTGTTCCTTCAAGTGGTGTCCAGGCCAGAATTGCGACTCTTGAGGGCACGCCAGCCCGCAGCTTGCGGAGCTTGGGCTTTCTGCGGGAGGCGAGCAAAGTCGAAAGTAGCTCAGGTGGAGCGGCAGAGGCTGATGCGGCAAGGTGCTCCGCTGACCAACACCCGCAGTCTGCAGGACCGCACAGCTTTGCGCCATGCGTGTTTTTTTCTTCCTTTTTTGGGGATGGGAAGATATGGCAAGGCTTGCGGCGTGGCATCCGGGCTGAAGCCTCAGTTGGGCGTGTGGTTGGTGTTGGTCAATTTCAGCATTTGGAACCAAGACAATTGACTGTAGCTCCTTGCCTTGCCTCGTGTGAGTCGGCTAGGAGTGTCCTCCTTTTGGTGCCGCGGCTTGGAGAGCCGAGCGCCCGGACACGTTGGCTGAAGCGCGCCGCGCCGTGCGTCTCTCAGATTGGGGCAGCGCAGCTGTGCTCCGCGCCGTCGGGCCCTGGGGCCCTCCAGGGGCCCTGGAGGGGGGCCCCTCCAGGGGCCCTCCAGGGGCCCTCCGGGCATTTCGTTTCTCGTGTCTCGTTTCGCTCAACGCTGAGTCCCGGAGCCCAAGCCAGCGTCTGGCATCCCGAGACCACGCGTCCCACTAGCGGGACGCCCAGCGAACTCGGACTTCGCATTCACCAAGCAGATTCTCGCATGCGCCACGTGCGCCACGTGCGCCACGTCTATGCCTTCGCACGCTAGGTCTGTACGGACATTGCGCGGCCCTTCCCCATGAGCCTGGAGTTCGTGAGCGTGGCCGAGTGCGCCGAGCGCGCCAAGCGCCGCTCAGTGACTCGGATCCGAACCCGATCCTCTCAGATCCCATTGTCAGATCTCTCAGATCTGCAGGTATCAATGCTTCATGCTCGCGCTTCAGCGCCAGGCGCGGACAAATCCCGTTGCAAGGATCGCATTCTGAAGCGGTGTTGTACGCTCACCCCCCCCCCCCCATGAATTGCCTTTGCAGCATTTTAGCAGGCCAAAAACCTGCATAGGGGCGAGTCAAATTCCATTTGAGTTGCAAGAAACTTTAACTTTGATTAAAACAAATTTGGAATGGAATTCCTGCAGAGATTCTACATCGAACTAGACGTCCAAAATGAATTTATGCAATGAACTTTGGAAAGGATCTCGTGCTTGAACTCTCAATCAACATAGACATTCAAGTTCATTGTGCCATTCTTCAGTTCCTCAAAAAGTCCAATTCAATGTTTAGAGTCAAGTCTCATTAAAATGAGCTGACATTTGAGTCACAATTAACACAGTACATATTTGAATTCTCCTTTGTGAAGTTCTATTCATGGAAAGGATGTCTTTTCCTTGTTAAACTCTGTGTGGTTAATGTTAATTTAAGACCATATGTGGAAAGGAATAGACGTTGTAATTGAATTCGTTGCTGCTTAAAGTCTATTTACATTCAACTTAGATGTCAACCATAATCCAATTTGGTATTAGGAGCCTTACAAGGAGCCCTGAAGGGAGCTTTATAATGAGCTTTAACAGGAGTCGCGTAAGGAGCCTGAAAGGCAGCTTTTCGAGGAGTATAAGGAGCTTCACAACAAGCTTAAAGGAGCCGTGCAAAGAGCTGAAAGACGAGCCTTATCTGAGCATGCGTGCTAGAAAGTACAAGCCCTGGAGCCTGCGTGGCAGCCACTGTGGCTTTCGCCTGACCGCTTCCCGGCCCTGGAACCCAAGACCCAGCCTGTGTGTGCATCGCCTCTGTTGTTTGTATCCAGGGCTTCAATGTACTCTGGCTCTATGATCATAGGCTCAAGGCCTTGTGCCAAAGGGCCAAGGCAGGTGCACACACAGACGAAACCTGCTCGAAGCTTTGTGCAACCGTGCTTCTAGCATGCAGTCATCCGTGCAAGACTGTATCCATCTTGGCTTGATCTTCACCCATGTGCCACTCCGGTGTGACAACTCGGATGTGCTTAGTCCATGTTCTCAGTGTCGCAAGGGAAAACAGATGGATGAATGTATTGCGGTAGTTGTTGATCGCCTCAATGCGCCCTGCGTGTGACTGCATCATCTTGTTGATCGCGTATTCATGTCATGACTCTCACGTCCTCGCAAGATGTCCTTTGCAGTGTTGCAAGAGCACCTGTTGATTTACCTTGCGCGTTGTGACGATATTTCTTTTGACCAGTTGTTGTGTGAAGAGGTATCGCAGTCTGCGTGTACCCTTATGTTTGTGCGTGCTTCGAATGTCTCCTTGATGAAGTTGCTGATGTAGAGGCTTTCCTGCGCTGCCGTGCCAATCGCGACAGGTCTGACTCTGCTCATGAGTGCTATTGTTGCTTGTGTTCGGCTTCCGTAGTGTATTGATGCTCCAAAGAAGATTCTTGTTGTCTTGAACGATGCTCAGTTGGCATCTGGCTGTGGCTTCAAAATCATGTACCAAAATGGCACCTTGGTAAATGCCACCAAAGACTGAAACCAGCGTAACCCTAGCTCGCTAGTTTTGAACCACACCCATCTGTGTATATGTCGATGTTGGGTGCATGTTGTCATGCGTGATTCTTCCAGTATAGGTCGGGCGAAAATCGCTGACGTCGAGCATCGCCAAAGTCGCGGAGGCGTGTCCGGAAGGCGGCTTAGTGCTAAGCCCCGCCCCCGTGTGAGGCCGACGAGAAGGCACCCTTCCTGGAGATCCTGTTGCCCGACATGCGACCTCCCGCTTTGGCCCCTAGAAGGCTGAGGGCACTGAGGGCACTGAGGGCACTGAGGGCATACCTTGTGGTTTTGAGGTCCAGACTCGGGTGACCTTTGACGAAGAGACAGAAGTGCGGGCCCCAGGTGATGTGCTGTGCAACTCAGAGCTCGGCACGCGTGTTGCAAAGGTACTGCTCATCGACACCGTTGGAGATATCCTGATGGACAATGCCCAGCTCTGAGAAGTAGCCACACCAGGTGTGTCAAGCTCACCGCCAGGCCCAGTATCGTGTGCTGCTGCACCTGAAAGAGGACCGGCAGCGCGACCGACCTTTGAGTGACCTCTTCGGCTATTCTGTCACGCGTTTTTTCAAGGAGCAGAAGTTCGCGCTGCTGGTAACGGGCATCCGCCCTCATCAGCCGGGGATCTCGGGAATCTCGGATCGGATGCGCGGAAGCTGGGCCCAGGTGAGGCGCCTCGAGTTTCACCCAAGCTGAACGGCGACTCGTGCCGCTTGCGCCGCTCAGAAGCCCCGCTTGCGCCGCTTGTGCCACTCAGAAGGCGTCGGATTCGCAGATTGGCGATTCGCTCCGTGTGCCTTGCTCAAACCCGTATTGAGCAAAGCCTGGCACTGCATCCATAGATCTTTCACAGATTTTGGGTATTTGGGTCACCGGTCCAATAGAGCTTCAGCATGGGCCAAATCTGTGGGCTTGCAGCTCAGCCGGTGCCAGCTTGTGCGATGTGCCTCGCGGCCTTGCGTTTGGTTCTGGGAAGGCCCGGCGTGCTGTGCGATTTGGACAAGGCCGGACCTTGTGCAATCCAGGCGGAGTGTTGCCGGAGGGTTTTTCGGCTTCGGGTGCTTTGGGTGCTTTGGGTGCTTTGGGTGCTTCGGCCGTTTCATTTCGGGCTCAGGGCGGTCGATGGCCAGTGGCTCAGTTTGCGGCTATGGGAACTTGGAACGGCTCAAACGGCTCGGACAAATTCGTATTTCATTCTCCGACTTGAGGACCGATGAGGCCAGTGAGAACAGGGAGAGCGGTTCATTGTGCTTGACTCATTGACTGTCCCTCAGGGTGGCCGGAAGGTCGATCAACTCGCACTGGAGCTGCGCATGCTGAAGGCAGGAAGTGGAGAAAAGAGAAGCTGCCTTGGGTTGATGTGTTGGGTGCAGAACTTACGGATATTCCCGAGCAAACAGATGCCGGAAGTGCCGACTCCAAGAGACGCCTGCGAGACGTATTCCCAGGATGAGAACTATCGGATACGCGAGGAGCAGCTGCGTTTGGAGAAAGAGCTCCGATCCATTCCTGCCTTCCACTCAGAAATGTGTCGGATTCCTTGGGATTCCTTGGGACTCCTATGGATTCCTATGCATTCCGAGGCAGATAGATCCCGTGCCAGAAGAGGCCGCACCGCCCTCCACTTCCACCTCCGCCATCTTTCTGCCAAGGCTCAACGAGACCTGGACAGGATCAGGTCATGTGCGCGGCTTGCACTTGCAAAAGACTGGGTGCGGTTTGCTTTGCTCCGCCAGGTACATGAAGGAGGTGATTCGGAATCTTCAGGCGCGTCCTCCTTCCGACGCATTTCGAGGGGCGCTTTGGGGGCGCTTTGAACTCGGGGCCCCTTGGGGCCCCTTGGGACCCTCCATCTCTTTGGGTCTTTGCAGGCTGAGAACTCGCGGCTTCGGAGAGATAACGACAAGTCGGCCCAGTTTGAGTCGGCTGTCGGCCCAGATTCCGAGAGATTTCTTGAGGCCGGGGGTATGCTCTCGCTAAGGTGAATGCTTCGCCAACGGCTGTCAGCGAGGTCCGTGATTCTCACGGGATGTTCACCCGGTTTCTGTTGTCGCCCCAAGTGGCCGAGTCCCGTTTCGAGGTGGAGTATCGCCAGCTCGAAGGGCAGCTGCCGCTCGCTTCAAATTCAGCGTGCCAACACAAAGTAGGGCCATGCCAAGGCGGCAAGACCATGTCTCAAAAGGCACATGAAGCCATTGCCATTGGGTCTGGTATGTTTGACTCATCCCTGCGTGAGCCTTGCCAAGCTCCTCCAAGTCATGGCTGCTTTCAAAGCTGTCTCCTGACTGAAAGGCGGATGCTTCAGCACAGACAAGCACACCATGCACGTATGCAGGCAAGACTGAGTTGCGAGGGTCTGCAATGGGCTGCAGTTTGGTGTTCGCACAGGTTGGTTCTGCAGGGGTGTCCACTGCTGTCCGGCGCCCGTTGATTCTATTGCAATAGAGCCCACGCATCGCGTGAACTTTCCGCAAACTCGAGGTTTCTGGTGTCTCGACACCTCTCTCGATGTTGAATGAGGCAATGGCACCCTTGGCATTTGTTTCCTTTCACATTGTCTTTTTTTATTTCTTTGTTTCTTCTCTTTTCGCAGAGGACCCGCGGACGCGTCAAATGACGGCCCACTACGAGGCACTGCAGCGGGACCAGCTGGAGCTGAGGAACAAGGCGCGAGTGGAGTGTCCGAGCGGCGCGCGTCACTCGACTCGGGGAAGACGGACGGGGCCGATCCGGGCCCAGGTGCGCCGCTTGGCGCGGGGCTGAAGGGTAGGGCGGGCCGTTTCACCCGAAGCGTTTTCAGGCAAAGCGCGAAAGTGAGTGCTGCTCTGCGAGTTGACTCCCTTGCCCGGTTCAGATCATAGCCGTTGACATCTGAGTTTTCAAAAGTGGATCGCGCGGTTGGCTCAAGCACTAACAACAGACCAAATTCCACAGAGTTCAGGCTGGGAACTCAGCACGTCAAGGAAGCTTGGAGAGGTATTGGATGGGCTTTGGTCTAGATTTCCTGAGTCGCTCAGGATGCCGAGCACCATGCAATGACGGAGCTGCCGTGATTTGCGCAAGCTCTCATTCTATTTGGGCTGAGCATGCAGAGTGATTCTCCGCCACAGCTCCCTGTCAAAGGAGGGCGCGTGCTCCTCGGAGGAGGAATGCTCGGGACACAGCACGTGTCGAGAGCGAGAGACCGAGAGACCGAGAGACCCAACCGCCCAACCGCCCCAGGTTGGGAGTACCTAGATCCCCAATCCGTCAAGCGCGGCCCCTTCTCCCGCAATCGGATGCTCGTATTGGGCTCAGCCAGGAGGCTACGTATGTGTCTCACACGCGCGAGCTTCAGGTTTGGTACGAACACTCGCTGCTCCCGCAGGCCAGATCCCACAAATGGATGTGGGTCAAAAATGGGTACCCCAAATGCAATCGGGGTAAATGGAGACAAGGACTAAAGCCTGAGTGTTTGTGGTGGCTAGTTTTTGACCCATGGCAAAATAGTGTCCGCTGTCACGTATCGCCAGGAGCTGAAAGTACGCTATGAGGCGCGCATGCCCTTTATACCCATCCGGGAGCCGCCTCCTCATATTTGTCACTTCCATTGGCCTAGTCATTTTGAAATTTTGGGAGTTTCGCCTTCGGGCTTCCTCCTTTCGGCCGTATTCCCCTTGTGGAATCCTTGCGCCCGAGGCTTTTCCATCCGCCGCTGAAGCCCTTCAAGTGCGCAAGCTGATTGCGTGACCTGTCGATGCACTATGCGCTTGGCTTGCTCGGTGCGTGCAAGCTCTCCGCAGCCTTTGCATAGGCTCAGGGCGCGGACAACGCAGTGCAATCCAAAGGTTCACAAACGCAGTACGCTTTACGCACTGCGACGTCGACTCGTCTCTTTCCAGCGCAATTCAGAGGCGGGGGCCTGAGATCAACTTGAGTTGGCAGTGAGACATGGACCCGTACAATCTGAAGATGCAGGCTTTTTGTGTGCCAACGAGCATGCTCGTCGCTCTCAGAACTGCAGGGCGAGCCGAACAAGCCACATTCTGGCAAGTCACATCAACCAGCTTAGATAGTCCATCGAAATGGACGAAGCAGCAGCTTGACGGAACTACACATCAGCCAAAAGCAGGTGTCCCAAACGATCCATCAATGAATCAAGACAAGCAACATTTGGATCCGAGCATGGCCTGAACGGTGCGGGCAAGTGTGCCCACATGTGTTGTGGGTTACTTCTGGCACGGATTCTTGCCAGGCTATGCATGGCTTCACCGCGGAGGAGCGCAAACTCCTGGAAGGCAGCAGCCGGAATCTCGGAGTCTCCGAATCTCCGAAATGCGAGGCACTTGGCCCATGGACTTGCTGGAGGACGGGAGAGAACGACGATCGCTTTTGGATCGGCCAAGTTCCGCATCGGTGAGCTGAGGACCCCTTGAGGCAGCCGCGCGTGGTGACCACGGCCGCGGAGTTCCTGCGTGAGGCACTCCCGAACTCCGAACAAACTCCGTGCCGAACTGCGATCCGAATGTTCCGAATGTCGAAGGTTCTGATTTCAGATCACCTGGGCGACTTCCTGGCCGCGCTTTCAGAGACTGACTCGAGACTCGAGACCCCCGTGACGCCCGTGCGCTCGTTTTTTCAGGTCCTGCCGCGAGGTGTGGAACTGCTCGGCCTGACCGAGGAGGCGCGCGGGTCTCTCCAATCCGGGTGAGGCTGGCGTTGCCCAGGCCGTGATGCCTGCGGACTTGCGAAAAGCCCTGGACAGCTCCAGCACGGCCCGTGCCCATCTGCCCATCACCTTAGCCGCACTGGAGTCCTTGAGGTGGAAGAGCTGCTGAGATACTTCCGGAGGGTGAGTGCCCGAGAGTGCCGCGAGAGCCTTCCGAGAGCCTCCCGAGAGCCGTCGCCTTCGTACCTTGTGAGCGCCTCGCGCGCGCGCCCCGGGCCGGAAGGCCCGAACGCCCCCGCTGGGGGGCCACGCGCTCAGTCTGTTGACCTCGGAGACCCTCACGAGATCTTGGAGCTTTGCAAACATCGAATCTTTTGGCAAGCGCTTTGTGGGGGATGGAGCGTGTTTCAACTCTCGTGATCCCGGCTGAAAGTACGAAAGAGCCACAGCCGGCAGCTTTCAGGATGAGAAGCTACTTGACAAGTACAAGGCGAGGTGGCGCTGGCGCGTCCCCATTTTTTTTACAAGCTTGGGCAAGCTCTGCCACGATGTGGCGACTGTGAGCCAATGTGAGCCACGGAGGCGGGTGTGGAGTACATCGATGAGACTGGCGAGCAGCGGATGGCGCTGCCGAAAGAAAGGTGAGGAATCGGGTGAGGGCCTAAGAGCTTAGCGAAGGGGGACGCTTTGAAGCGCAGGCGCAACCTGCGGGGCCGCATCGATGAGGTTCTGCGTCTGGTGGACAGCGGTGAGGCGATGTGTTTCCAAAGCTCAGCTTCTCTGAGAGCGAGAGCGAGCCAAGCAGTCCTCCAGGCGGACCCTCAAAGTCTCTACGTGGCGGAGATGCGGGTGTTGAACGCCCTGAAGCACCCCATCGACGGGGAGCTCGTGAAAACGGCCCGCGGCCCGGCCCGACGTGCACAAGTTGCAACAGCGCGTCTCAAGTCGAGTCGAGTCGAGTCGGAGGTGTGCCAGCGGGACGTGCCCGGTGCCCCAAGCGACGGAAGCGAGCTTCTTGTTGTTTTGTTCTGTCGCCTTCCTTCGTCCCTTCGTCCCTTCGTTCGTTAGGAAAGATGTCTTGGGGCCGTTGGCCGCCTGGACCTTCTACTGGGACCGCCATGATGAAGGCAGCCCAAGCACCCCATCCGACTGTGTTTCCAACAGACTCCCAGGCGTCTTCATCGGGAACCGCGGCAGTGGCAAAGGAGCGCGTGCCCCAAAGTTTTTGAGTGAAGGTGAAGCGAGTGAAGTGCTTCAGGTCCATGTAGACCAAGTGCTCTGGAGCAACGCAAGGAGCTTGGCGTGAACATTGCCGGGTTTTCCACGGGGTTTGCTCTAAGGGAATCTGAATCACTAAAGTTGTTGGCTGCAAAGATGGCTCAGAAGTGCGAGGTGCCAACATGAGAAGGCCCTTAAGTTCACCGCTTTCAAGTAGTTGCATGTATGATATCATGTATGTTACACTGTACGTTTCTTGAAGATTCTGGCACTGGGATCCGACTCGGGACTCGGGAAGGTCGGCAAAAACTGGCGCGGCTACAAGCTGGTTGCGGCGTGGCCCAAAGGAGCGGCTTGGCGCCCAGCGTGGCGGTAGTTGTTCCCGTTTAATTGAGGTGTGGACGCCCCACTTTAAGAGACTTTTGCACTTTTGCCCCGTTTGTCTTCCCTTTCCACGTTTGCTTGAAGCATTCTGGACAATTGCCACGTGTCTCTCAGCGTTGCCTTTGCATCGCGTCCACTTTTACGTTGCGTGACGACCAATCACTGTTCTGGCCACCATCATGATGCCGCAAAAGCAATTGTACGATCGCGCTGTTGACCTCATCATGTTGCTGCTTTGTCACCATGATGACCGCGTCATAGTGATGCTGCCTGGAGACAAGTGCTTGTGTTCTGAATGTGGTGAATGCCGGATGAGGTCAGCAACAAGATTTGCACGGATTTCGATGACCAGCTCTTCAGCCCGGGTCTTTGATGACCAGACTGACCAACCACGGGGGTCCTCTGCTGTTCTATGCTTCCGTTTGCAGCTCCCAAAGTATGCTGAAGCCTTGAAGCACCAGATGTTGCAGTTCTGTCGATGAGATATGCGCACATGACATGGATCGGTGACCGGTTAGGTGCGCTGTCGCCTGCCAAGCTGGCGGCCCTGCGGCAGGCCAGTCACTTCGCTGAGTCCCTCACTCGTCACTCTCTCTGCTCTCCGTTCCAGCCTGACTGGTGTCAACTCTCACGCTGTGTCACCTCTCACGCCTATCCTTCTAGTCCGAGTGTCCGAGTCTGGAGACAGGCGGCGAAGCTGGTGCTGCTGCGTCCGGGGGACGTGTACCTCTTCAGTGGCGGCACGGCGCACACCGCCCCTTGGTTTGCGGATGTTACGGATGTTACGGATTGCGGTTGCCAGCTTCGGGCCCGCCTTGCGCCAGGCCCTGTGCCTTTCGGGACTTGGCCTCAGCAGCTACGAGTCCATCGTGACGCTGCACCCGGCCAGAGGCCAAGAATGCGAATTTCAACAGACTTCCAACCTGAAGCGAACAAGAACTGAGAAGGTGTGAATCTTCCAAAGCGAAACGTTGCTTTGCTCAGCTCCACAGCGGCCTCTGCATGCAAACCTGCGACCGGAGCAGCCCATGCTGGTTGGGCACCAAGAGGGAGAGAGGGGCGTAGAGAGGGAGAGAGGGAGGTGGAAGGCGTCCGAACTGCAAGGAGCCTTTCTGGCAGTGGGGTGCGCTGCACAACGCATTGGCCATTCGATTCGCAGGCTGGAGGGCGCCATGCCCCGGAGTGAGTTTGAGGACATTCTGGAGGAGGCCGCGTGGAAGCTGTCTGGACACGAAAAGGCTATCCTGTTTGCATGAAAGGCTGCCGAGCAGCTCGAGCGGGCAGCGTCACAGCTGTTGAAGGCACGGAAAACAAAAGAGTGTGAGGCATTTTGGGGATTTTCTTCTGGATTCATTTCGATCCATCCCGATTCTTGCGCCTTCCGTGCCTTCCGTGCCTTCACGGCGATTGGTGTCGGTGCCCGACATTTGTGAGGGCGGGCCCGGCGTGGCCGGGGCGCAGGAGGTTGAGCCTTCGCCGCGGGCATAGTAGGGACGCGAAATGCAAGAAGAGACTCAGAGAGGATTGCAAGTTGAGAGTGCGGCAACGTGAAGTTGGCAAGATTCAAAGCTAGATGCAATGCTCCGAGCTCCAAAGAGCGCGAAGGTGGCGGGAGCTGCGGCTGCAGCTGGTGAAGGACGGGCCCATGATGCGGCGCCTGCAGGAGTACTTCGCCGCTACTGTGGCGCTGGGCCTCTCAAGGAGAGCAAAACATGGGACTGATGCATAGCATGCTGCTCACTGGCAAGCAAAAGTGATCAGTGAAAACCTCACCCCAAATGTTATCTTGGATTTTGGGATGATGTTTGCAAAACTTTGCCATAGGGTGGAGGAGCTTGTAGTCTTCCGCCTCCTGTCGCTTGCTCATAATGCATAGCAACATGGGTAGGGCCCTTGAAATGTTTTGCAGGCCGGGCAAGGTCTCTCGCAGAACATTGAGAAGCTTCGCTCTTGGATTGTCCGTAGAGACGTGCAGTGCCTGTGGCTGGCAAAGAAGCTTCTAAGCACCGCGCGACCGACTCAGTGCTTTCATCCATTGCGGGCAGGAGCCCCAACACTGCTCCAGTTCTGCCTCTCACCGAAATGACACGCTTGTAGCTCAGGCTGTCGCCGAAAGGAAAAGCTTCTCGAACGTGCAAAGGGTCTGAACATTTAGCTTGCCCCACAATCGATAGACACACCCGGAAGGTGCCATCAACGGACAAACAAGCACATTCTCTGCCTTGCACAGCCTCAACAAACAAGACGTTTCGATCACCAGCTAGAGGTGTGGCCTGGAAGAAGATTTGTCAGCCGGTTGGCGGCCGTGATAGAATCCAACATGAATCGCGCCAGATGCTTTTCGCCTAAGGCTGAATACCATGCGTGAACTCTCCCTGCTACTTACATGTGGTTTTATTATTCTCAGCCTTCCTGTGCTGCAGGAGCATCTCGCAAAAAAGCTTCCGCAAAACTGTGTGAATACCAGATTTGCCCGACTTGTCTCGTAAAGCATGCCCGAGTTCGTAAGGAGAGCACATGAATGAGTTTTGGCCTGTTCGCATCTAGCAGCAGTCTAATGAAGGAAAGGTGCGGCTTGATTGCTTAACGAATAAGATCCGCACTGCGCCTCACAAAGTTTGTCTTGCGCTCAGTCGCCAGCATGTCCGATTCGTGCAAAGAAATGAGGACTCGGATTTGCTTCGTGCCACAGCTGACTTGCTTGGACGCCTTGTGGTACTAGTACATGCATCAAATGCCGTGCCACTCGGCTTGCGCGATTGAATGCTCGAAATGGACAAAGCAGACATGGGAACACGCCGCTGCGTTGGCGTTTGCCTCGTCGCGCTCTTGCTAAAGCCTCGCGTGTCTCCGCTTATTCTTGCAATGCTTGGTCTACCACGTGGCCTTCATCTAGGAAACCCCCGAGCTGCCTCATGTTCCAGCTCTGCGCCCGCAAGACCAGCTAACGGGGCCGGCGCTTTCTCATCGCTGACACCAACGATCTCACAGTCCAAACCTGCAGCCAAGTCAAGTAAAGGAGCTTGGTCCGAATCCGTCAATGCATAAATGCACGCTGCTTCTGAACTTCGGTGCCGCGTGTTGCTATCAACTCCATGGGCAAGCGCTGCCAAAAAGCGTTGCCTGCAAGAACTAGCGTTTCAGTAGTGTCCCAAACAGTCACTTGCTCAACTGCGTTACCCTCTTTGACCCTGCTACGCAATGTGGAGCAGCGCCGTTTTCCAAATGTAGAATCCATTTCCCGTGCGGGACATTGCCTTGCAAAAGCGCAGGAGAAAGCGGGCAGGCGAACAGAGCATTGCTACGTCCGACACCCTCAGCTTTTGTATCTATTGGCTTGCGCGGTCGGGTCCTGAAGCTTCAAGCAATCTTCACCGAGCCGCAAGTCCAATAGCATGAGGGATGCAGTTGCTTGGCTGTCGTAAAACATGATCTTCAGGAAAACGGGCTGAGCGAAGAGCTCCCTCCCGAGGCAGCTCTTCAACTGTCACGCGTTTTTGTTTATGAATGCACACATTGAGCTGCAGTTTTGCTGCTATATGTTTCTCGCATTCCTTGCATATATCGTCCAGCAAAGCGCCTCGCTGTTTGGAAATCCGAACACCATCATAGTGCCCTCTAGGTTTCACATGCTCAGACAAGTGGATCGCCCATTCTTGTAGAAGCTTCGTTCACTGCAAATACTGCGACATTTTCTGCACTTTCTGCATGAAGTCTTGGCCGTGAAAATGCTGTGGAAGCGCCCCACCATACAGCGCTGTGATCAATAGCTGCTTGCCTTCCGACACTTCCACATGAATGCTCTTGCACACCTCTGTTCTCTTGCTCACGCACATTTCAAAGACTTCCAAACCTGAAGGCATTGCCACTGGCTGTAGGCGAAGCTGTAGCAAAACCGTGAATATGCAGTTGTGAATGTCGTCATGAGTGTCTTGCAAGAGATACAGTTGCGCTCGTCTGCTGAACGACTGTCTTTAAGGAGAGAGCACCGATTGTGGTTGCGGTCTCGTTAATGTTCCTGGATCTATTTAAAGATCCAATGATGTGACAGAGCCAACGTCGCCAACAGCTACATCACCAACGCATCAGAAGAGGCCATCGCGGGCAGCGTCGTCACCAAGAAGGGAACGAGACGGCGCCGTCGCAGAAGAAAGACCAGGCAAGCGACAGCGCAGCAACGGAGCTTCGACGCAGTCTGCAGCCATTGTACACCTTTGCTTTTTCGCGCAGCCTGGGTGCCACGCAGTGGCAGACATTCTGGGTGCCGGCTCAGCGCAACCTTTACGATGACACAACAGTGCTGATCTTGGGGTTCAACATGGCCAGAAAGCAACAGGAAACATCATTGTCCATTTGGATGCATGGCGCCAGGAACAGCGATCGCAGGTCTGCGCTTGTGCTTCACAGACGAAGAGTACAAGCGTCGCCACTAGGTTGCGTTCCGTGGTGACTGCGGTAGGCCTTTCCGGTGCTGAACACACGCCCGCGTGACAGCGTCCTCGCAGCCCTGTGTTGCATGAGCGAGAATAGGCGTTGCGGACGTCGTGCGTTTGATCCTGGCCGCGCCCGGAGATTGCCAAAGCAACCAGCCGGGCCTATATCATGGTACACGAACAGTTTCAGGCACATCCGGGATTCAGACACAAGCCTGAACACCATGAAGAGCAGGTTCCAGCAGATTTGGAAGATGGCACCAACATCTTCAAGAAGCACACGTGGAGAAGTGGGTGCGTGGTGACGCGCAAACCACGTGACAGTATATCATATCGCCTATTCCAATGAGCACATGGCCAAATAATACATACCGCAGCAGCACTGAGTATAATATTATACAGGAGGCATACGCAGCGGACAGCCCTCTGAAAACAGATTTTGCATTGGTCGGAGATCTGGCAATCTACATCATCCTGAACAACAAAGATGATAGTTCAGCTGACACGCAAGGAACGCATCGAGCACAAGCTGAGGAGAAAGTGCAGCGCGTCAATTAAACAACGCTGCCGCGCTGTCGCGCAAAGGTCATTCACTTCAGGTGAAACAGGCCGCCCTTTTATTTGAACATGAGCTATAAAATGAACAGGTAGAAAATATGTGAACTAATGAATCAATATGTCTGACAAAAGCAAGCCCATGATAAAAATAAGTAGAGAGATAGGTACACAAGTATATATATATATAGACCGTGAGTACACGCGTTGCGCCCATTGCGAGTGCGCGAATTCGGGGGACGGGGGCAGGAGCCGGTTCCTGCGGGAGAACGCTGAAGCGCCCGTGAAGCGAGCGCTGCGGCACCTGACGCACGGCAAAGGCGACACGTTTCTTCGACGTGTGTCCAAGCCGGGCGCATTTGTGGATGGTCATGCGGGTTCTTAAATAGTTCGTTTTCTTTGACGCAGCTCCATGTGTCAAGGGGCCCTGGTAGACAGATTTCAACAACAAGTCAGGGACTAGTCTCCGGATGTGCAATTTCGCATGCCGCAAGGCTTGCAATCTCCAGAGCGGTCAGGGCGGTCAGAGTCAGCCCCCCAGACATTGCGCCAAGCACGAACAGCTTCAAACCTTGGTGTTTGCCCTTGCAATTCACCTGGCTTGAGTTGGGTGTTGCCCTGTCAAGGTCGCCAGACCGGGATGCCCGGGCGCCGCCTGACCGTGCCCGGGCCCAAGAAAGAAGGACGCCTAGTTGTGACATACTTCGCAGTATCATTCAGAATCACAAACGAAGGGTAAGGTGTCATAGACTAGGAATTTGTATTTGTAGCAAGGGATGGTGAGAAATGAAGGAGGCTTTATGGCAATGTCATGTAGTGTAATGCAGGCAATGTAGGGTAGCGTATCGCAATTTCATGTACAACAATGCAAATGTAGATGCGATCCTACTACCAGAGTAAATGTACTGCAATTAATTGCATGAAGCGAATTGTGTGACGCATATACAATTATATAAGTGTTAATGCAAACCCATATGCAATGTGATGTGACGGAGTGTATGTATTGTATTGTGGTTGGTGTAGTGCACTGAAAATCAGGTTTGTTAATGCACATGTAATGTGGTGGACATGCGTACAAATATAATGTATACTTGTATATAATATATGCACATTATGTACACATTGCAGCTATCCAAAGTTCATGTGACTCACTGCAATGTAGTTGTAAGGACAGTGACCGTAAATATAGTTTGATGCAATCTACGGTGAATGAAATGTCAACACACATTCAATGCAATGCAATGATGAACATGTAATGCAATGCAATGCAATGGAATGCCGCAGCCATGCGGCGCAATGTACTGTACTGTAATGTATGGTGATGTGCGCGTGCGTGTGAATATTCACACACACACACACATGCAACCAACGTCGTGTAACACAACGACATGTAGTGTAACGCAATGCAAAAAGACGTAACATGATGTGCACACTTTGCATTTGTACAGGATTATATCACATATATATATATATATATATACGCATACATATATGTACATGCGTGCTTACATATAGAGATTAGGCTGTCAAACCTATGTTGCGCCCTTAGGTGAGAAGATCCCGGAGCCCACGCGGCGCGACCTAGCCAGGAAGCCGGAGATTCGCAGTTTCGGCATTTCTTGGGAACGTACGCATTGCCCAGGAGCTCCAAGGCTTCACGCCGGAGAGACTTCGCATTCAATCCGGTTTTTCCCTTGTGGCGAGGCTCGCATGTCATCTTGGTTTTGAATTCAGATTTGAATGTTACCCTTGTCCATGGCCCACAAGAGGACTGAATGATCTGTTGGAGCAAGCCGATCCCTGCATTTTCTGAAAGAAGACAAGCCTGGTGCAACAAGAGCCCTGGATGACAGAGCTTGCCTCATTTCCAGTTAGGCCTCTCAGCTTGGTTTCAGTCTTCGGGCCTTTGTGAACTCGGAAGCCGGGCGATGCGAGCCGATCAAAGACTTGCCAGATGCCAAAATCGAAAAGCGTGCGCAGTGCAAGCCAAAGACGCAGCGCGAGCGGCGAGCTTCGAGCGCGTGCCGCCACTCCGAACGCGTCCAGGTCAAGGCCAAGACTGGCGCCCAATGAGCCAGCACGCCTCTGAGTCTGCGTCGGGAACATTGTATTCGCCCTTCCATCTCAAGTATCCACCCAAAGAACAACTTCCGCAGAAGGTCCGTTCGCAAGAAACTTGTATTTTCTGGGGCCTGCGGCCTCTAGCCGGCTACGCCTCTTTGAAGTTATGCTATGTCATGTCATGTTTTTTGTATGAGAAACGTATCCTGTGCTATGATATGGCTGGTTAGGTTATGCATGTTGCCCACCCCAAACCCAGATGATGCCGGTGATGCCAGCTTTCTGGGCCCTAGCCGAGACCCAAATCAGAAGGCTGACATGGGGTCGCGCGCGCGCGCCAGAGGCCGCAGAAACAGCAGCCCAAAAAGAACTGCCCGCAAGCCAGCCCGGAAACGCAAAAGCAACAAAACACCGTAAAGAGCAGCGTTTTGTGGCTGGGGTTGCGCGCGCGCGCCAGAAGGCCCGAAAACCAAAGCGACCGCGCAGCACGCGAGCCAGCCACAGCAAAAGCAAAACGGACAGAACAACAGCCCGCCGCTCAGCACAGCAGTTTTTGACGGTATGTACAGCGTTTTGTAGAGCGATGACCCGGCAGCGCTTGGCGCCAAAATGCGCGAAAATGAGCCTCGCTTATATCCCTCCGATATCTTTAAAAAAAACAGTGCTTTTTGGGTTGAGAGGCTTTTTGGAAGGAAGTCTTGATGATGCAGACCAAGCCCCGCTGAAGCATCACACAGGCCCAACCCCAGACCCTGATGATGTCAGCCACATGGCCTAAACCCTGCGTATACGCGATGTTTTGCAAGGGTTTCCCACAGGCAAGCAAAACCGCAAGCCCGAGCTGGTGATGCAGAGGTGCCGGATTTGGGCCACGCATCACGACCAAGTGACGAGGGTCGGCGGCGCCAGGGTGCAGCCCCTATAGCTAAAAAGCTAGCAGGCAAATTGCCATTGCCTAGCGGCGACATGCTACCCCAGGAGGCGTAGCCGGATTTACGTTGCTGGCGCACAACCGGCCGCGGCAGCAGCGTGACGCTGAATTCCACATAAGATGGAAAGAGAATAAACATTCTACGGCTTTAAGATTTGAAGGTTTCAAGGGTTTAAGGTTGTACTTCTAAGTTTCAAGTTTTTAAAGATGTTAAATTTACAGATCTTACGATTTTAAGATCTTAAGATTCGACTATGTTCAGTCTCTGCAGTTTTGCAGCTTTTGAAATTGTAAGACATTAGTTCTTAAAAGCTTAATTTCTTACAATCTAAAAAGCTGCAAACCTGCAGGAACTGAACATAGTCGAATCTTAAGATCTTAAAATCGTAAGATCTGTAAATTTTAGCATCTTTAAAATCTTGAAACTTGAGAAGTAGAGTTACAACCTTGCACCCTTGAAACCTTAAAATCTGAAGGCCGTAGAATGTTTCTTCTCTTTACATTTAAAGTGTGAGAATAATAGAATCACAAAAAAAGGCAGCCCGAGTCTCCGCAGACAGCCCGAGCATCCGCAGACCCCGGGGTCTACCTCAGAGACCAGCATACAGGCAAGTCCCCAAAGAAAAAAATGAATGTCCGCAGACCCCGCAGTCTACAAAAGCGCACAAACACACAAACACGTACAGACACACAAACACATACAGACACACGCCCACAAAAGCGCACGAACACACAAACACGTACAAACAAGTACAGACACACAAACACATACAGACACAAGCCCACAAAAGCGCACAAACACACAAACACACAAACACGTACAGACACACAAACACATACAGACACAAGCCCACAAAAGCGCACAAACACACAAACACACAAACACGTACAGACACACAAACACATACAGACACAAGCCCACAAAAGCGCACAAACACGTCAGAGGCCGACATACCGGAAAGTCAAAGGAACGCTGCCCAAGGAAACAAGAGCCTACCAAAGCCAGCCAAAGCATCCACAGACCCCGGGTCTACCCCAAAGGCCAACATACAGGACAGTGACCCGGCGGAAACGGCAGCCCTTGAATCCGACTGGCCGAACGGCTGTGTCGGATCCTCCCCCTTGGTCCTTTGGAGCAAGGCTCTAGAGCGAAGCTCTTGGGGGCTGCCGCATGGTGCCGCCGCATGTCGACGATGCGGACGGGGGTCCGTGAAAAGGAAAGTGATGAGCATTTTGCGCTGCGCCCGCCCTACTAAGGGGCGAAGGATTGGCGGGCGTGTCTGGGCGAGAATTCCGCGGATTTTTGCGCTGCTTCTGGGGGTGCGCTTTCTGGCATGTTTGGGGCCGGCTTTTAATCTTCAGGCTTGGGCTTGTGGGTCTGCAGGCCCGTGCCGGTGATGCAGATGATGCTGGGGATGCTGGGGATGCCGGCCTTTGGTGATGAAATCTCAAAGTCTTAATTTTGAGAATAATAGAATCATAAGAAAACAATCTTAGAAGACTTTAATCGTAAAAACTTTAAATCCGCAAATTTTAGAACCTTAAGCTTAACCTCGCAAAACAGTAAACTAGTACAATCTTAACAAAGATTTTAAGATTGTACTAGTTTATGGTCTTTTGGAGGAAAAGCGAAATTTGAGGATGTAAAGATGTTACGATTAGAGTGTTCTAAGATTGTAAAACTGTAAGATTGAGGGTGTTCCTTGTCGTTTTTGGGGGGACTTCTCTGCATGCTGGTTTGTGAGGTAGATTCCGGGGTCTGCGGACGCTGGGGCTGCCTTTGACAGTGCTTCTTTTTTTTGGGGGGGGGGGGGACTTGTTGGTTTGCGAGGCAGACGCCGGGGTCTGCGGATAGGGCTGCATTTGGTAGTACTTTCCTGTACGTCGGTCTGGGAGGTAGACCCGGGGTCTGTGGATATTCGGGCTGCTGTTGGCAGTGTTTCCTTTTTCTTGGGGGGTCGATTTTGGGGTCTGTGGTCTTTCGTAGTTTTTGTTTTATTTTCTTGGGGACTTTCCTGTATGCTGGTTTGTGAGGTAGACCCCGGTGTTTGCGGATGCTTGGGCTGCCTTTGGTAGTGTTTTTGGTGCTTCTTTTTGGGCGACTTTCCAGTATGTTGGTCTGTGAGGTAGACCCCGGTGTCTGCGGATACTCGGGCTGCCTTTGGTAGTGTTCCTGTTTGTTTTTGTTTTTTTTCGACGTTCCTGCATGTTGGTGTTTGAGGTAGATCCCGGGGTCTGCGGATACTCGGGCTGCCCTTGGTAGTGTTTCTTTTGTGTTTTTGGGGGACCCCGTCAGTATGTCGGTGTGTGAGGTAGACCAAATACTCGGGCCAGTGCTGGCTTCTTTTTTTTGGTGTTCGGGGGGACTGTCTTGTATGTTGGTTTGTGAGGTAGCCCTTGGGGTCTGCGGATACTCGGGCTGCCTTTGGTAGTGTTTCTTTTATTGGGGGACTTTAATGTATTTTGGTCTTTGAGGTAGACCCCGGGGTCTGCGGACACTCGGGCTGCTGTTGGTAGTGGTTTGTGACCCCGGGGTCAGCGGATGCTCGGGCCGTTGGTAGTGTGTCCCTTCCTTTTTTTGCGCCGTTCCTGTATGTGCCTGTGGTTGGGTTTCTTTCCTTTTTTTTGGACTTCCTTCCCAAAAACGGACACCCACAGACACACACACACACAGACACAGACACATTCGAGATTGCGGAGCTGAAGCGGGACGCGCTGGCTTGTGGCCAGCCGTTTTTGTCGGTCTGAGAGCCCCAGCAGGAGGCCGTGCCCTCAATCGTTCCCCAGCAGAAAGTTTTTGGGCCGACGGGCCCAATTGTTTGGAAAATCCTAGCTAAAAGGTGCTGTTTTGAGTGGGGCGATGTTGAAACAGCGAACAGAAATTCAGACATCCAATCACAAAGTCAGACACCCAAATGTCAGACGTCGCCGCGCAAAGAGTCAGACATCACCGCGCGAAGAGTCAGACATCGCAGCACGGAGAGTCATGACATCATAGCCGCTGACACCCGCCGCCCGCCGTGCGTCAAGATCACAACTCGCCGCCCGACACCGTGTCTGTTAGCTTGCACTGCTTGTCTGCTTTTCTTTCTCCTGCCTGGTGCCTGTCTGCGCGCCTGCTTTTTTGCTTGCTTGTCTGTTTGCAGGTCTTCTTTTTCTGCTCGTCTGCTCGCCTGTTGCTTGCCTGCGTGCTGTCCGGCCTGCCTGCCCTGCCTGTTTTCTTGTTTGCTCGCTTGCTTCGTGCCCGGGCAATGGCTTGTCCGCGTGCTTTCTTGCTTGCGCGTCTGCCTGCCGGCCTGCCAGCCTATTGGGCTATGATCCCTGGAGCTGCTTCAAGCGGAAACTGGCACAGCCGCCGGGCAAAGCACGCGGTGGAGGAGGACGCAGAAATCGAGAGCGCGCCGTCGTACTGCAGGCTGTGCCCTTCTTGGAAACTGCATAAGCCCAGCCAGACTCACCAAGCCATGATTTGGCTATTCTAAGCTGTTGGATGCACACTTCGAGGTGGCACATGGCACTGGCACACCACCCATGGCAAGCATTTCTTAAGCACTTCCAATGAGAAATGGCTGCAAGGTGCACAGGGGGAACAGAAGAGTCAGTTTCATGCCCTGAGCACGCGATCCGAGGGGATTGACCCGAGGATTCACCATGGCCGGGGTTGCGCGGAGACTGATCCGCGTACGCGTGTGCAGGCCTTGAAGCCGTCTCTTATGTTCTCCTCTGTTCTGGCAGGGGGGGGGTTGATGGGGGTGATGATGATGTTGGTGCGCTGGTGATGCATGTGGTTTTGACCATAGCCCCCGGGTGGCTATATCTCCCGACCCCCGGGGATAAGCCCCGTAAAGTGAATTGCCGCAGTCAGTTTTTTTGAGCTTTTGTGTTTCCGCTGCGTCTCCAACGGGGACGATGACAAGTATCATCGCAGCACCCCCTGCGTGGATGACGACGATGATGATGATGATGACACCCTTCCCATGCGCCTCGCCCTTGCAGACAAGGGGTCGGCGGATTCTTAGCTTTTATCAATGTCAAAGTACACCTCAGGAACCTTCCCGCCAGCTCGCGTTTGATGTTTTGTTTAGACTCGGCGAGGTGCGTACATGCAACTGCCATACAAGAGCGCCCTTCTCAGGCACAGCCGTCGATCCAAGACAGCCCGGCACTGAGACGATAAGTACCTTTCACCGCGGCATTTTCCAGATTTTACGTCTCAAAGGTTCACTGGGTCTTGAGACTCTTGGGAGCTGAGGCAAGTGGCAGTACTTAGACACCAAGGGCAATGTGCAGGAAGGGTGCCGAATTTTGCCGAGTCACGCAAACAACCCAAAAGCCTTGCCTTGGCGCAGGGACCGTTCTCATCCCAGCAGATGGCCTTGTGGCAGCTCTGCACTCCATCATTGGAGTCTTTCGGAGCTACATTTGGGTGCAAGGGGGAGGGGGTCGGTCTCTGAGGTCTTTTGTGTTTTGTTTTTTTCTGTTTTGGTCGTAGTTTCTTATCGTTTCGGAGTTTTTGTTTTTTGTAGGGGGAGGGGGTCGGTCTCTGAGGTATGAGCACCGCATGCTACCGAAGACGCTGCAATTGCGACGGACCACGGAAACGGACTACCGTACCATTGCAGAGCCTTGGCCTCGGAGTCGGGAGTCCGAGGGGGAGTCCGAGTCCTTGTATATATATACACACCATGCATATATATATATATACTTTAGAGCCTCCGGCTCAGTCCGCCGACATTGTCCTCTCCCTTTTCTCCTTCTTCCCTCTCCCTTGTCTCCCTCGTGCGTTCTGTCGTCCTCTCTCCCTCCCTCTGCTCCCCATTCTCCCCATCCCCCCAAGCCTCTCTCTCCTCAATCTCCCACTCTCTCACTCTCGCTGTCTCTGTTTCTCTGTCTCTTTCTGTCTCCCTGTCTCCTTCCTGTCCACGCCCCTCTACAGAAAAAGGGCACCCTAATTCGAACCTCTCTACTCTCTCACTGTCTCGCTCTTTCTCTTTCTCTTTCTCTTTCTCTTTCTCTTTCTCTTTCTCTTTCTCTTTCTCTTTCTCTTTCTCTTTCTCTTTCTGTTTCTGTTTCTCTTTCTCTTTCTCTTTCTCTTTCTCTTTCTCTTTCTCTTTCTCTTTCTCTTTCTCTTTCTCTTTCTTTTTCTCTTTCTCTTTCTCTTTCTCTTTCTCTTTCTCTTTCTCTTTCTCTTTCTCTCTCTCTCTGTCTTTCTGTGTCTCTCTTTCTCAGTCTCCGTCTTTCTCTCTCTCGCTGTCTCTCTCTCTCTGTCTGTCTCTTTCTCTGTTTCTCTGATTCTGGCTCTGTCTGTGGCTCTGTCTCTCTCTCTCTCTTTCTGTCTCTCTCTCTGTCTCTCTCCCGCTCTCCCCCTCTCTCTCTCTCTCTCTCTCTCTCTCTCTCTCTCTGTCTCTCTCTCTCTCTCTCTCTCTCTCTCTGCATTGCAGCGTCACGTCCCCCCCCGAGTTGCCTCGATGTCCGGGCACTGCCCCTGCATGACCCTGAACTGTCATCTCACTACTGGCTTTCCCCCTTCCTGTCCTTGTCACGTTTCCCATGCTGTCCTGGTCCTGTCCCTTCCATGCCATTCAGCCCCCCCTTCATGTCCCTGACATTTTCTCGGTATGTCCGCTTCGTTTGCCATGTATGTCCCGTTCTTTCGTTGCGAGTCATTTCCCTACATCTCCCGTCGTGCTTGGTTTCCTTGTGCTTTGTTTCGTCTCCTTCCCCCTGCACTCCCCTTGTTTTCATTTCTGTCCCTTGCATGTCCCTTTCAGTTCCCCTTTGTTTCCCTTTCATGTCCCGCTGCTTTCCTGTCATGTCGACTTCCTATTTCCTCCCCTCATTTCACTTGCACTTCCTTGCATTTCCCTTCTGCTCCCCAATATTTCCAGCAAAAAAACACGGTTTTCCAGCGTTTTCACAATTAGGACGTCCAAAAACACAGAGTTTTTCCAGATTTTCTGCAAAAGGAGGCAGGAACCCCAAACCAGCAAAGAGCCGGCAGGGGGAATCGAGCCTGGGACCCCTGTTTTGCGACACCGGCTCCCCGAAGACTACGTTTAGTGGAACGTCATCAAATTGCCGCGCGGTACGTGGGGGACCCCCCCCCCCCTAAAAAATAGAAGAAGTAGGGGGCCTGGGGGGAAGTCTGTTGAGGGTTGCCTGTTCTGGTTTTTATGTTCATCTCAAATCTATGTTCCCCCTTATTCGTTTTTAAAAGAGGGTTTTTAGGGAGCTTATTTATCGTTTTCGTTAAGGTAATCATTTGGGTAAATTGTCGCCTTGTTCATTGTTGGGCTGGGGGCAAACATTTTTTTTCATTTGAAAGAGGTAGCCCTTTTAGTAGTTATCAAGTTCTGGGGTGTTGGTGGGTCGTTTGTTTCTTTGACGTTTATCTCTACAATTATTTATTTTTGTTCTACACTCTTGACAATATTTATATCTTCTTCCACTTTTTACATTTCCAAATTCATCAATTGTTTTATCATAAAGGCATCTGTTGCATTTGTAGAATTCACCATAGTCTTCTGTTGCTTTTTCTTCTGTCATTCCATAATTATTCATTATAGTTTGCTTCACAACCATTTCTTAATATATCTTAACAACTTCTTTTTATGTGATTTTTATGTGATTGTCTAGTTATGTTTTATAGGTTGAAATTACAGTATAATGAAAGGTTATAAAAGTTTACACTGTTTAATCATATTATAATTAAATATTATGATTAAGACATGAAATCATTGTTTCTGTTTTCTATAAATTTCAATTGCAACATGTTCGATAGTAATGATTTCGTGTCGTTTCATAGTCTGTTTGGTTTCTTCAACTGCTTGTTCAATATGGTATTGTAATGACGCTCTACTTGAAATCTTATTCTGTTTAGATGATGAATAAGAACGACTGTTGCAAATATTATTATTATACATAATTTTTGAACTAACTACTATTCCAACCTGTATTTCTTCATCATACTTCATCATTCTTAATAATTCTTTTGGTGGTTTCAACGCATATGAAAGCGCTTTATCACCTTTTAAGCATTTATTGCGAATCTCAACATAATATCTACTTTCTCCTCCTCGTTCAGTGTAAATAGACGGTTTCCATTTCCTTTGTAATTCTCTTAAAGCATCACATTGTTTCAGTCTTCGCCACCCTTCACTACCATTAATGTAAGTAGTGATGATTGAAACTAAGCCTTCAGGTAAGCTAGCGCTATTCTCATCCATAAAATTATTCTCTGACATTTTACCCTTACTCATTTTTCTCTTAATATATAAGGCTTTTTCTCTTTAAGTAGTTTTGGCTAGGGGTTGCTGGTCGGCTGGTCTGGGTTTCAGGTTTAATTTAAATGTCTTAACCTCATTGTTAGATTATAAAAACTAGGTTTAATCATATTATAATTGAATAATATCATTAAACTAAATCACTCACGCTTTCCATCCACCTATTCCATCCAACCAGAATTCAATAATTCGCATCTGTCCATCTACTAGACTGTCTTCTGTGTTTAGTTTCCGTATCGCTCCCGATAAGATATAGTGATTAATAATCATAGCATTAAACTGCCCATCTCGGTTTAACTTTTTACCACAGTCTTTTATGATGTTTTCATCTGTTAGGTTTTCATACATTTCTTTCATGATGTCAAACCTAACAAATGAGTATATTGTCATCAAGTTTAATCCGCTATTATCCCTAAACCTGTTAATAACATCTTTCCAGAATTCTTCGTTTTCATCAACTGATGGCAAAGGGTGTCTTTTGACGAAATCCTTTATTTTGTTTAACTCGTCATCTAATTCCTTTTTATAACTGTCATTATCATCATCTTCTTCGTCTGATAGCACCCAGTTTGATAAGTCAGCAATCACTCCGACATTTTCAGTCATATTTTCACTTAATATAATAAGTTAATATTTCTTTAAGTAGTTTTTTATTTTATGTTAAGGGGCGGGGTTTTTATTGAAAAAATATTTTCTAACAATTTAATATAATGGCGAGATTAACAAAAGACCAAATAATCAGCAACATCTATTACGACTTAGACGAGGGTTTCGGAAGCACACAAGCGACACACAAGAAGGCAAAGGAAGAAGACCCAACAATAACATTAGACGATGTAAAGTCTTTCTTAAAGAAACAGCCAAATAAACAAATCAAAAATTATAGAGGAACTAATTCCTATACCGCTCCATTCGCACGATATGAATATCAAATAGACATAATGCATATGTCTCCTTTAGCAAAAGACAAGAACGTTCCACAGTATGCTTTAGTCGTGATTGACATCTTCAGTAAATTAGCAGATGTAATACCGATGGAGGAAAGAGACGGAGAGAACGTTTTGAAGGCGTTGAGAGCAAGCTTTAAAAAGATGGGTTATCCGTTGTCCGTGTATTCTGATGACGACGGAGCGTTTGCAACTAAAAATCACGTTCAGGATTTCTTCAACAGTGAAGGAATAAACCACATCGTTACGAAGACCCACGCAAATGTGGCCGAGCGTTTTATTAGAACGATGAAAAACAAAATTCACGATAGAGTTAGGTTTAACAACATGAAATGGACCGACGCCCTAACGCCGGCATTGAAACAGTATAACAGCACATCTCACTCATCAACAAGGATGACACCGTCTGAAGCACACAAGGACGAGAATGAAATAAATGTAAAGGTCAATCTTAAACTACGAGAAAAAAACAAAAGAAAGTATCCCAGAATAGTGGAGAACGACAAGGTAAAAGTGTTTCAAAAGAAAAGGGGTAATTACACCGACAGAAAGGAGTATAACTCTAAATGGTCTAATAAAATATTCAATATCGATAAAATTGAATATGATATTATGGGTAATAAAACTTACAAAGTAGCAGAAATAAACAAACCGCTTTTGAGACACGAAATTTTGTTAGTTAATGATTAAACGTATTTCTTGGTGTCTTCTTTATACTTGACTTGATAGTAATCCAGACTTGATTGTTTAGGTTCTTTTATGATTTTTTCATTCAGTTTTTTAACATAAATGTTTCGTTTATTTTTGTATTCGCTACTGTCTCTATCTACTTCTTTTGCTTGATAATTGTTATTGTTATCATATGTAGGTTTAATATTCAAGCTCTTTAAGATTTTCAGTATGTTTTCATTTTGCTCCAACACTTTTTCTAATCTTGGAAACAACAACTCTAAACTACTGTCAATGTTCGCTAAATGTTCCTCCATATATACTAAATTATAAAACTAAACTTTTAAAACTAAATGTTGCAATTATGTTAAATCTACTCTTTAAATACTATTTTTTCATCATTTGTTTAACAGTTTCCTGAGTTTCCTTATCGCCACTATCGGATGGTGATGCTTGCCGACCCCATTTAAAAGTTATATTATGAACATCTGTTTCTAAGTTTATACTGTCTTTAGTTTTATCAATATTCATTTTCTTATCATTCTTACTTATTTTGAAACTTGTTGGAATACACGAACATTTACAATGTCCTTTCTTTTGTATTTCTAATTCATTTTTCATTTCTAACATCTTTTTACACATTGGACAAGCAAACTCAATAACTGATGTTTCTTTAACAATTTCTTCTTTTTCTTCATTGGTTGAAGAAACACTTAAACCTGTT